ATTTTCTTGATTAGTGAAGACTTCAATTTTAAATTCACCACTTTTTTTGCAAATACAATCCGATGGTTATTTCGCTTATTTTATATAAAATAGGTCAGTAAAACATATACTAGTACGTGTAATATAATTGATATTTTATAAGCAAAATGTTCACTGTATTGTATATCCCCTCGTAATGGTATGTACTTAGTAACATATATGAGGAATTTATATTTTTGTTAAATTATTAAACTTATTTATCATAAATTTAGTATATATGTTTGACAAAACGAGTTTAAGTATTAAATACATAAATTATAAGCTATATTAGAAGTATATTATAATTTCTGTAATCTAATTTCGTTTAATATACACTTCTTTTTAAGTTAATATTTACAAAATTTAACAATTGTCCCCATTTTATATTTTAAAATTTATTTCATATATTTTTTAGTTAAAATGTATTTACATTTTAAATTTAACAATTTGCATAACTTATATTTTGCAAAATGTTTTTTCAACTCTTTTCATTGTTGTTGTCCATTATAATTTTTTTAAATATATTATATCACATTATATATATTTATTTAAAATTCTTTGTTTGTTACTTTAATTTGTTTTTAGAAATTACCTATTTTTGTAGAGTTAATTTTATTTATATATATATTTTGGATTTGTATATATATATATATAAGTTCCCCTCATACATTTTTGGCAACTCGAGAGTTCAAATTATATTTCAAATCAAAAACTTGATTCATTTCAGAACTTTAGTTGTCCTGCCTAAGTCCATTTGTCGCTTAGTGTTGGCTCTATACCAGCTTAGCAAAAGATATCTGGTTGTGAGGCCCTTCCATTTGAAATATGTCTAAGAGAACTGAGTAAGTCCTTTATTTACGAGTCATAAACCTGGCAGCTATTTCCCAGTTTGCTGTTGCTTCAATTGAGGTATTCCCATCTATGTAATAATTTTAATATTAACATTCTGTCATTTTATTCTTTTAATGCTCTTTCATCACAGCTACATAAATTGCGTGGCATATTATTTAATTGTCGTTAATCAAATAATTTCATCCTTAGCCCAGACTCATAAAAATTCCAACAGCATTTTATTTGACCCACTCAAACGAGAAGCACTTGCAAATTTTATGCAATTTTAACCCTCCTTCCAATCCTCCTCCCACCCTTTGTTCTTAAATAACTTCATTTCACTTAACCTAGTCAAAAATACCGCTTGACGCGGCTCGCAACTTAAAAGCCATAAAAGCCGCAACAAAGGCAAGCATGCACACGCCCTACCCCTTCCCCTCTGGCCGGCAACACAAACATGCCACACCCACCCCGTACCGCCTCTAACAAGCAAGCACCTACGCAGTTTATGCAAACTTACGCATTTGGCATGCCTCGAGTGGTGGGGTGGGAGGGGCATGGCGAAAGTTGGGCTTGATAAACTATAAGCCACAAATTTGCATGAGGCAGCCGCCCTCCGACTACAAATTGCCATTAAATGCAGCAGGCGGTCGCACTATAAGTGGGCGTGGCGCGAATGCCAACCGGCTGTAAGCGAATCTATGTACCGTCCTGTTTCTGTACTCTACTATAATACTTAGCTCGGTGTACCTGTGCTAACCCAACAATAACAGACACCAGTTGCTGGGCGCCCACCTTGCCACAGTCTGGGGCATCACTTTGTTGCAACAATTTGCGCGCCGCCCGAGGCGTTCGCCTAGGATGTGAGCAACAGGAGCGACAGGATGAGCAGCAGCCGCTTCATTGCATTTAATTCATTTTTATTGCAAAAGCTTACAGACAGATAGAACCAGCGGATAGGATGGGACACGACAGGGCAGAGTTGAGCAGAGCTGGGCATGGCAGGACAGGAAGCCACTTGCCGCCGTGGCCTGCTCTTTAAAATTATATTGGCGAAATTTTATGCAGTTGCAGCCACTGCTGCTGCCGCTGCTGCTGCTGCTAAGCCAAGACCAAGCTGGAGCCAATGCTTCCCGCAGCTACCCACCCGCGCCTTCCACTCCACTACCGTTCCGTACAAAAGTTTTTACAAAGTAGCTGCGGCGGCAGCTGCTGCAAGTTTGAACAGAAAAGGACTCCTAGACACAAAGCAGAGACCAAGCGCAGGACCAGGCAGGACGATGAAGCAGGCATTTTGATGAAGCTGCTCCATATTGGTCGGTGGTAGCAACAGCGCCCTGGCTGGCAACATAATTTAAATAGCATGTAAATTAGACGGAAGTCTAAAATGAGTGCATAATGTCTGCTAAAACTGTTCTAAGTGATTGTAATTTAGGATAAGTTGCGAGCAACTCGGCACTGCCTTCCACAAAAACTCGAGCACAATTTTCATCTGAACTTCCTTCACAAACTTAAGCACAATTTCAGCACCGAGCTATGTTCTCTACGTGGACAGGCGAACTATTAGCGAGTTTAAACAAGCAAATGAGTTAACACTTTTCTTGTGGTAAGCACTACTAATTAAATAATACAAATAAAAATTGGTAGAAGTAAACAGACATAATTCGGGCTTGTTGCCGAATATTAATATTTACAACAATTAAATTCAGGCGGTTTTTTTTGTACATACTTAGTTTTGCTTATAGAATATATGGATAGATTTGTGCGAATTTAATTAAATTTAGTGCCTAACATTATTTATGACATTCGATAGTGCTGCCTTATCATGCGACAACTAAGACAGCACAATTTAAAGTAAACATTAAATGCCATCTCTAAATGCGCCTGGGCGCATAAAATAGACAGCAGTTGATTGAGTTGCTCTGTAGATTTTCTTGACTCTTGCGAATTCTTGCGCTCAGAGCACGGCACATAGCACAGCAGAACATAATGCTAAAGCAGATTCTGCTCTCAGCCCAACTAACAGAGTGGCGCTCGAATTAGCTTTCACACTAACGCACTCAGTTCAGCTCACGTGCTCGATCTGGATTAAAGGGTCTTACGATATTGAGGGTTGTTAGATCAGATACATTTTAGAAACGAGTCTGGGATACAGGATGAAATAATAAAATCAATAAAATCTCGGAAGCCACAAGTACGGTTTTGATATACTTTGGATACTTCGTAGCCCTAGGCGAACCAAGTCATTAGGTATATGACTCATCAGGATTCGGAAAGATACAGCGGAGCCATTGCATATATATTTTAATAGATAAATATCCATTCGTTCAGAAAACTGCAAAAGTTCGGAAAGCTTCTATTAAAGGATCTACGAATCACACAAATTTGAGAAAAGAAAATACATTTCAGAAACGAACAGAACGGTTTTCATGCTCTCTGGCCAATGCATGTCGCTGGCCGATACAAATTGTTTAACACAGGACTCGTCTGGATATAGGCTAGGAACTTCGCCTTTGAAAATTCATAAATATGTCGAACGTGAACCAATTTCGACAGAACTGACATTTAGGAATTTGACGATTTCGAAACTAGTTCGAACCTGATGCAATAAACATGCATGCGCTATATTTTTTTTTTGGTTCTCGACTAGCTCGGCAAAATCCAAGACCAGCAGATATCTGTTAAAGGTACAAAGGGAATGTAATTGCAATTGAAAGCACACTCACAAACGCAAAACAGTCGATGAGAAGGAAAATGTACTTGGTGTCGAAAGCTAAAGGACCCAAATGCTCCATTCGCATGCTTAGTGCGTGGGCATCAGATAAAAAAAAAGGAAAATGAGAGAGAAAAGGGCAAACGGAAGTGAAAGGTGCTAATACCGTAGCAAATCCGCAGAGCAACACCCAGGCCGCAGACTTTGAGCCGAGTCTTAGCCAAGGTAATGCCTCGGTTGCCCATTCGCAATTTGAGGCTCTGTTTTTGGGATTGCCGCAAGAAGCTTTTGGACCAGACGGCCCCAATATGCGATCTGTTAAAGGGCTGGCGCAAAGAAACTGAGGGAAAAGCACCGAAATGTACTCGAGCTCTTTTTTTTCTCGAGTAGTCATGAAATGGCTTGCCAAATGGCCAAATGAAGTTTTTAAGGTATAAACGGCAACAAGTTTTTTATGCAGCTCTCAATCTGCTGTACACTTCTTCGTTTTTTGCAACATCCATTAACAGTTCATGTGCTTGCCGAAGAGACAATGAACGGACCGTTCCTAGGTATAAAAGATGGCAGCTGCACCTTGGATAGGTCCTTAATCATCTTAGATAAACTCCACACATAAGAGCAACAATAACTGCATTTGAGAACGTTCGTTAGCTAACTTGGCCCTGCGCAGCGACCCACTCTAATCTATCAATAATATTATTACTTGTTACTGGGGCCAAGTACTTGCCCAACAACTTGGCCTGGCTACTTGCAACCTGCTGCCTGCCGCGTGCTGTGTGCTGCGTGGTGAATAGCCCCTGCTTTCTGTACTCTCCCGACTGCTGTCGAAAGTTTCGTGCCGCCACCTGTAAACTCCTTCAGCTGCACTCAACGAGCTTGCGTAATTCCTTAGGTAAATTTATAATTACTGTAAGCAACTTGAACTAGTTACGCTAGCAATTGAAGTTCTTCCTCTTTGCCATGCTCCCACAGGCAGCAGTTACAAATAAAAACCAACAAAGCGTCTTTAATAAATCGACTAAAAGATACCCTATACTTGAACTTCAGTTGCTTTAGGCATTTTGTGCATCTTTCTGGCTAGAGATACGGAATTTAATGTGATCCACTTAGGCATTCCCCAGGCTAATGTATGAATATTGTATTATCTTAGCCTTATGCCATATTAGCCAGTGCTTTTTAAAAAATTCATAATAAAATAATAACAATTATTACAATAAATATAACAATAATGATAATAATATTCACAACAAAATAGTTAAAATAGTTTACAGCCTACAAATCAAGGATATTTATGGAGAAGTTCTTGTATCGATATTCATCGATTTGCGAACGTTCCGGTTAAATTATCAAAATTGGCAATAGTTGAATTTTAAGATCATATACGACATTTAAGACAAAAGCATTTTGTACTCAATTGAACTTAAAATCTTCAGCCCAGTTTGTTACATAGCTTTGCTAAATTTTATTAGACTTTTGTTAACAATTTTATGAGCATAGGGTATGCAAAAAAGAAAAAAAGAACTTGTATCAAGTTTTGTCTGGCAAACTGGCGTCGGGGCAATCTAATTTCCATTTGCACTGGGCAGCACATCTACTAGCTGGTACCAAAACCCTCTTTGCTCCTATTGCCCCTTTGCTCCTGCCCATGCCTCTGTGTGTCTTGGCCGCTTTTCGTTGCTGCTTGCATTTTCATTAGTTTTTTCATTTTGAAGCACTCGCACCTGGCTGACTGTAAAAGTTCTTTGCGCAATGAAGTGCCATTTTTGGGGCCCGGTTGCATAAAGTGCACTTTCCTCAGCTGCGAAGGGCAATCGAATGGGTGGGCAGATATTTCGGGGAGTTTCGCATTTTATTGATTTTAATGAAAATGCAATTAAAATTTTAGCACACGCAGTGAACACACGCACAGTGCATTAACCAACAGCATGATTTATGCCATGTTTGACATTTTAATTATGCTCTCCGCTCCGCGAACACAGCGAGTCTCCACCTACTTATGACAATATAAATATATATAACCATTATTTTTAATCAAATTTCATCAGAGGTTTCTGTTGTTCATAAATTATCCGGATCGTTTGTTTTCATTCTTGCGTCGTGCTGTGCATTTTCCATTGCACTTTTAATGTTCAATTAATTGCATTAAATTATGTGTAATACATAAATTTATGTATTTAAAATGCACTCCATTTCGTCGACAACAGAGTCAGAGTCAGAGTTCAGCTCAGTTTATCTTTATACATTGTAAAAAACTTCTTTTGTTCCGGCTAAGTGACTGATTGCATGTTTTAAGCAAAGTAGATCTGGGTGAAAATTTGTTGGAACTAACCTTTTTAATATTAATGCAAACAGGAAGCAATTACTAACAATAATTTCAGCTGATCAAAACAATTTGATTATTTTATAAATTCTAAGCTGGGATTCCAGTTAGAGAATTTTCAATTTGAAGCAATGAAAAATAAAGCATAAATACAGTCCTTTTCCTTTCCACCTTTTCCGAGTGTTTTATTTCTGAGCGTCATAATCTGTTATTAACATTAATTTATTTTGAATGGATTTGTTATATAAATAAATCATAATAATAATCGTTGATATAAATAATATATAATAATAATCGAAGCTGGGCATGCCAAGCTTTAAATTTTCCCATGAAGACAGATATTTCCGTATATGTGCCACTATCCCTCTCCCGTAATCAGCCTTTCGATGTCTCTGCACCCACAATATATCTACAAAATGACACTTTAATATACTCTCATCAGCAGCACTTGGCTTTAAGAACACGTCGCATACAAATCCAATTAATTTTTATATCAGGCTCGTGTCAGTTTTTGCAGCATCCTAGTGTTTGGGTCAGTCAGGAGCAGCGCACAGGACACACGCAATTAGTCAACAAATTTAACACAGTTCATTGAGCAAATTTGGACATGGCAACCTAATGGCATAATTTGCCATGAACTGAATTGGACAGTGTGTCTCCCTCTCTTTCCCTCTCTTTCCCTCTCTCTCGCTCCGCGTTCCTTCTCTCTCCTTGTCTTCATTTATATTCTGTTCCATCTCTCTTCGCATATTGCCTTCTTTGGTCAATTCAAATAATTGTTACATGCATCTGACATGAGGATGACAATTACAAGCTGCTGTCTGCAGCTGAAGATTAATGATAAGAAACGCATTAATAAAGGCATGAAATTTCATATAAAAACTCAGCTTCATGATGTGTTGATTATGATAACATAGCCAAGAGCTTACCCTCTCTCTCGCTCACACTGCCTGCTCTCTTATTCATGAGCTATTTAAATTTTTGCTCTTTTGCATATTCACCTTGTTATTTTATTACACGGCGGATATGAACAGAGCAAAAATAAAATTAAATATAAAAAAAAACAGAGAGAGAGAAAAGTGGAAGCTGCCGCATAAACAGCGCGAAAACATTGTCACAGCATGAAGTCAAATGTTTTTTATATGCAAAAATATTTCATTTCCTACAGCGACAAAATGAAACGAAATGTTAAATAATAATAAAAAAAAAAAAGAAATATCCACATCAAGTGCGACAAAGTAAATTCCTTGTAAAAAAAAAAAAAAAAAAAAAAAAAAAAACAAAACAAATGCCAGAAAGAATATCGGGATCCGTGAACAAGAAATGCAAATAAAAAAGTGCAATAAAAATCTGTTTAACATGAAGTGAGGGGACGCACAAAAATCTACCCGGCAGAGTCATTCAGTCAGTCAGTCGCTTTGTGCTCGCTTCTTGCCATACACTTTACAACTTATGAGGGCTAATAAAATTCACTCGCCATATCCTTGACAATTCACAAAAAGTGCGTCAAGGTGCGAGCAATGATAAAGACGGCAACAGTAGCGGGGTTAGTCGTTGGGCAGGGGGTGGTAAGGTCGCCTTATGGACAGTATAAAATGCGATTTCATTTGAGTTTTCTTTTTCTTTTTTTTTTCTTCCTTTACACAAAACGCACAAAATGAAACACTTACTTGTATCTGCTTTGTGCAATTTCTGTGATAATTTCGCAAAAGATTATGTCCGTTCGCTCGCACAAAAGCCAGACTTTATAAAGTCTTCCATTTGCATTCTGAGTGTGAGGTTGGGCAAAGTCCTGCGATTATTTGTTTATTCGTTGTCAAGTTTTTCAGTTGAAGATTGGCAGCAGCATGGATCTACGAGAAATGTAAAGCAGTGAAGTCCAGCTGGGATTACAACATAATAAAAGTTTACCTGAAAAGAAAAATATGTATTTATATAAATTATATTCAAAGCATAGATTGATTACAGTTTTATTACAATTTCCAACTATACGTCAGAGAATTAAAAAGCAATGAAAGACCTACATATCTTCTTTTTATAGATAACTTAAAAGTAGGAGGTTCTAGTCGGCCATTTTTAATGGCTTCAGAGCATAAACACTAAAAAATGTGACATATATGTAAAGCATTAATTAAATTGATTGCATATTGATATTTTTTTGTAACCTTTGGCGATTTAGCTCTCCAGTCAATGAGCTTGCGTTTTTTTTATACCCTGAACCCATTAAAAATGGATATAAGGGTATATTGTATTTGTGCAAAATCCAAATGTATGTAACAGGCAGAAGGAAGTATCTCCGACCCCATAAAGTATATATATTCTTGATCAGCATCAATGGCCGAGTCGATCTAGCCATGTCCGTCCGTCTGTCTGTCTGTCCGTCCGTCCGTATGTATGATTTCAGAGCCTATAAGAGCTAGAGACTTGAAATTTTAGATGTAGGTGCTCCTAGTGCCTGCAAAAATCTAGTTTGTTTCTGAAAATCGATAACTTACCCCGTTTCCAAGCAATCGATAAAAATCGATATCGATATCCTGTTTTTTGGGCAATTTTGGTAAATAATAAGTCATCAAACTTGACATATAGCTTCTTAAATAGAATATATATATACATTTGATGTTGAAAAAAGAGGGTTCAGGGTATCCCCTAGTCGGGAGCTCCCGACTAGAACCTATTACTTGTTTTTTTTAAATAATTCGTGGCTTTTGTGAAAGGAATAGATTAACAAACTAGTTAATAATAATTATAATATAATCTATATCAGTGCAGCCAATTTATGATACTTATGTAGGAATCGATATCTGCATACAACAGCTAACAGTAAAAGCTTTTCGTTAATCTTGTTCTCTTGCAAAAAAACTAAATACACAGTAAACGCGTTGATTGGGATCCCTTCCCTCGACAAAAAACCGTGGCAATTACATATTTTACGTATTGAACATTTGTTTTAAAACAAAGTTCACTTGGACAGGCTTACAAGAAAATCCAGAATTAAAAAAAAATTTATATATCTGGGCAATGTCAACGACTTGGCGACTCTTGCCGCAGCTGCTGTTGCCTCTGCTGCTGATTCTATTTCAACTGCAGACAACGGAGGCAATATGGTTTCCCTGGTACTTTCATCGCTATGGTTTCGAGGCGCACAGCCATGGAGCTACTACAAAAGTATTGCCGTCAGGTAAAGCTGAGAAAACGACACCCATAAGCAAGTCGAGTAATGCCGGATCCGCTACGTGTCCGCCTGGCTATCAGCTGAAGGAAAGGACTCCGGCAACATGTCCGCCCGGCTATCAGCTGAAGAGCAAAAGTGCTGCGTGTCCCTCCGAAAGTCGTCTGTGCGACGATAATCCCCTGGTGATGCAGCTGGCACGCCTTTATGTGGTAAGTCCGGAGCGTATTGTGTTGTTGCTGGCACAGCCGATGCTGATGGAGGCCTGTGAGGAGATATCCGACGTGGTGGATCATATACGATCCGCCACAAGCAACTGTTTCATTTCCGATGACAACATCTATGGCAAGCTAGCCGACGGTCTCAAGTACTACAAGGAGGAGGTCTGCGACGGCGGCGCCGACAGCAGCAGCAGCAACAAGAAACGCTGCGCGAGCCTCAACGAGGCGCACAGCTGCTTAAAGGAGCTGCGCACGGACATGATCGAGTGCGAGGCGCCAGCGGATTGGTATGAGCAGCGCAATGCGACCAAGGTCTGTCAGACCTTTAACGATGTCCTCGACTGCTATTACACGAGGGGCGCCATGCTGTGCGGCCTGGAGGCGGCCCGGCATTTGCGTTCCTTTGCCGGCGATAGTATGAAACGCTCCATGATCCATGCCTGCGATGTGAACAGGCGTTTGCCACGTGTTATGGATCCTATGCCCGTGATTACTGCGGCTTCAACAAATTCTTTAAACGTTTTGTTAGCTTCTAGCTTTGTAAGTTTACATATTATAGATATATTTATATAATTTATTTTGTATGCCACACTCTGACCCGTGAGGGAGCCTAAAAATCATTTATCAAATGCACTTCAACTTGGTGGAAGGCCTAATGCCAACTTAAGTGTTTTGCCATTGCGAGTAAATTTCAATAAATACCCAAGGGACTTAAACTGTCGACAAAATAAGCCAATTTACCTACATGGCCAACACGCAGTGCTCCAAGTGTGCGAGTACTGTGTGTGTGTGTGTGTGTATGCGTCTCACCGCAGGACACAACTAGGATATATTCGGGTTTGCTACAAGCCAAAACTCATCAATTATGTCGACGCGGACTGCGAATACACGGCTGGTGTGTGGTTCCTGCTAATGACCCTTTCCTCCGGCCTCCCAATATGACCAGAGTTGTCAGTCAAACATTGCCTTTTAGCAGGCGAGCCAACAAATACCAAAGTTTTCGTTATCCTCAAAATAAAACTAGAATTCAACGATATTTGAAGTAAAAAATATATTTTTTATTTGGGTTGCAATAGCTGGGCAAGTCTAACTGCCTATATGTATAAAATAGTTCAATTAAAAAATATATTTATCATTTTATTTTCGATCCTTACAAAATATATATTTAAGGCTTCGGCTTTTCGTAAATTGAGTGCCAGGCAAACAAAAGTTACCACCGTCGATTAATCCGCTCCTTCTCCGATGATGAAACCGTTGACAATGATGCTGAATGGGTGTAAGTAGATTTATATATTTATAAATATAAATCTAAATAATGTACTAATAGATATACTCACAGAGTCACGCGATTGCACAGGTAGTTTTTTCAAGTGTTCAGTGTTATGGTCGATTATTCCACTCCTGCGACGAGTGTTACCGAACAAGCTATTAGTATAAAAGCTATATGTAACAGTGTAACAGTGTTGTATAGTGTTATGCACAAGTAGTGTTACTACAGTCGATTCCAGTCCTCCGATGTTTCAAAATGTTACTGAAAGTGTAACGTGAATGAGCATCGATATTATGTAGACGTGAATATGGATATGGATATACTTGGTGTTTCATTGTGTAACGCGATTGCACATGTGTTTTTTCCATAGTCTAGTGTTGCATTGATCTCCGTTGGGTCTGTAGTATGTATTACGTATCCGAGTGTATTATGTTGTATAAGGAGTTACAGGTGTATGATGTGTTAATTATTTTTAATTCCAATTTGTCCCGATTTATATTTGGTCCAATTCGGATGTCTAGCTATCAGTTGCTGTTGAAGAAATGTCTACATTATTTTAGGTCCAAATTGTTCCTTTTCGTATAGAAAAACTTACATTATGGTCCTTCGCAAACACTCGAGCTCTTGGCTTCTTTTTTGAAAACTGCACTTTTTACTTAAACTAAAATCTGGAGTGCTGGAGTACTCTAGATATGCGTTTTGTAATTATATTTGTTGGTTTTTTTTTGTTTTCCAAAAAAGTTGTGTTTGTTTGATCTTATTTTTAAGCTCCTACTGCTATGAGTTGCTAAAGTGTACTGAACATCTGTTGAGCGGCTCTGGTCAATGTGTTTTTCAATTTCTCAAATTCCAGGCCAACTTCGATAGTCCAAATTCTGATTAGAGAAATGGAGACTGTGAAAATAGATTGAAGTCATATATGTTTAATTATTATAAAGGTCTTTGGGTACAATCCTTATAAATTACATGGTTTTCAATTAATATTTAAAAAAGTTAGTAGCAAATTTGGTGTAGCAAAGTGCATTTTTAGGGCCCAAGCTGTATATTATTGAAATTGCTTTATTTTGTTAGATAGTGTCAATAAGTAAACTGGTTCCAATTGAAAAGCTCTGCCGTGGCTAATATGAAAATTGGCTTTGCCAATATGCGTATTAATTTAAATTATATTCGCAATTGCAGCAATAAAAAGATGGCGATAGAAGCAGCTAACAAAAGTTATGAGTGCAATGCTCAAATTTAATGACACAATTAAACAGACAAACACACAGACACACACACACACCCATATCCAGCTGATAGCCGGGACTCTAAGCTCGTAAAGTTGGGCACAGAGACAAAAATGCTAGGCACACGCATAGGAGACGTTGACAGGACGTTGAGGGAAAAGGGGTTGCGAACTGGCGCCCATTTTATGTCGCCAACGCAGTTATTTTTGTTGTTGTTGTTGTTGCTGCTGCTGTTGTCTACTCCATTAAAAGCGGGCGCTGCTCGGTTCGGTGGCGCCAACGAGACGTTCAAAATAAAAAGCAGATTGTTCGCAAACAAAACACGGGCACATTTCAATGCTTTTTACCTGTTACCTGCAAATACACAACGTAGCATTGGGGGCAAATAGACAGCCAGACAGACGGCTGCTGTCGCCTAGCACAGATAAAATATCTTTTTGTTCTCTGCCACATAAAAATAAGTGCTCACAGAACAGACCCTGAACCGCACCCCAAGTACATTTAACATCTCTATTATTTTTCTCCCTCTTCCCTGCAATTGATAATAAACACACGTTGGCCGAGAGGATGACCCCAAAAAAAAACGGTTGTCATTTGGTCAGATGAATGTCGTTTGTCAGGGCATTGAGTGTGGCCTCGCTCCTCTAGCCTGTACGTGAGTGTCTAGGCGTATGCGTAATATGATTTGCAAAGCACTCGCTATGTGGGCTGGGTCATATTTACATTGCATTCATAGTTAATTTGCCATTGATGAATTGATGTTAAATAAATCAAATTCAAATTAATGTCAATTAAATTATTAACTCACTCTGTTAAAATTTATTAAAGGATGTGCGTATACGCAATGTATTTAATTAACTGAATGCTTAATAGGGCGGAAACTGAAACTTCAAAATAAATAAAGCTTTTAATGATTGTCAGCAGCTTTAAATACTCTCACAAAACAAAGGTTAAACATAGCTTTCGGTTGTTTTCAAAGCATATAAGTACAACAATAAATGTATATATATATAAATTATAGCAAAGAAAATAAAATATTGTAGATGACACTATTAAATTTGATCAATTTAACAACATTATTAACTCGATATATGTTTGCCACATT